TCTTTGTGATGTCTTTGTCGACTTCAATGTGAAGGTCACACTAGCCTTATAGACTGAGCTAGGAAGTAGCACCTCTAGTTCCACTGTTTGACAGAGGTTGTAGATTGTATTGAAGTGATATATGTTCTTTAAGTGTTTGGCAGAGTTCACCAGCAAGCCCGTGAAGGCCTGATTCTTTCTGTTTGGCAGGGTTATTATTCATTCAAATGACTGTTCTCTTCTAACATGAGGTTTTATAGAATTTGCTTTCAAAAATTTGGTACATGGGGCTACAGAAATGGCTTGGTGTTTTAAAAAGTACTGACTGCTCTTCTAGTGGACTCTAGTTCGATTTCCTGCACACACAGAGTGGCTCACAACCTTCTGTAACTCCAGTTATAAGTATTATGATGCCTACTTCTGGTCTCCACAGGCAACACTCTGGCACATAGAATACAGGATACACATTAAACAAATACTCTCTCTCTCTCATGTATGTGTGTAAAATTGGTACAGGGGTTGGGAAGATGGCTCTGTGAGTAAGAATACTTGTCTTGCAAGCATGGGAACCTGGAGCTGAATCTTCAGCACCTACTTGAAAAAACTGGACATGGCTGCAAGTATCAGTAACTGGCTGGAAGAGGCAGGAGGACCCAAGAACTCATTGGCCAAGCAGCCTAGTCCCAAAAGCATGTTTTTTTTTTTTTTTTTTTTTTTTTTGTTCTGTTAAATACCCTGTTTCAAGGAAACAAGGGGAAGAGCAATAAGGAAGACATAGACATCCTGCTCTGACCTCCAAAAGAGGAAGACAAATGTCATGTGCTCTGATGTCCAAATGCACACAGGAGGGACCTGCACACTCATCTCAAGGCACTATATCCATACATCACATACCATATACACAGAGGGAGGTCAGGGGAAGAAGAGGTTGGTACATTCCATTGAAAGCATAAAAGCTGTCAACAGTAATTTTTAATAGTGTATCAATTTCATTGTTGATTGTTTGAGGCAAGGTCTTGCCATGTCACCTTGGCCTGCCTGAACTCACTATGCAGACCAGGCTGGCCTCTAACTTGCAGCATCCCTCCGTCTTTGACCGTCTTGTTCATAATATACTTTTATTATCTTCCTGATGTCCATGGTTTCTGAACTGACGGCATCCTCTTTCTGAGGTCTTTATGATTTGGTTATTTTCTGTCTCTTTTTCTTTGTTGGGCTGGCTAGAGACATCACTTTTATTGGCCTTTCAGAAGTCGCCTCTGTTATGTTGACTTTTTCTATTAATTTCCTGGCTTTACTCTCACTGGAATTCTTTCAAATTTCTGTTGTTTCTGTTCTTCTGTTACTTTGAATTTAACTGCTCTTTCTACTCTGATAAAGTGGGAGCCTTGAGTTTTGATTTTTAGTCGTTCCTTCCTCACCTATGCATTTAACGCCAGAACTTCCAGCATTGATTTCCCTAAATTTTAACCATTTCAAGTTGTACTTTCATTTGATTCAAAATATTTTTTAATATCCTTTGAGCTTCCACTCTAAAGCCTACATTATTAAAATGCAACTTGTGATCTCCAACTACTTGGGGATTTTCCAGATATCAGTGATTCATTCTACTTTTTACTTCCCCCTTTCCCCTCCTGTTTTGTTCATTTTTTAAAAGGCAGGGTCTCATAGGTAAGACCCAAACTCTCTATGTAGTCAAGGATGACCTTGAAGTCCTCATCCTCCTGTCTCTACCTCCTAAATACTGGGATAAGAGGCATGCATTACTATGCCTGTTTTATTACACTTGGTGATTCATATTTATATTTAATTTATCCATAGCCTGGGATATATATTGTATGATCACTATTTTTAAGTGTGTTAAGGTGTTTTATAGCCTGGAATGTGGTTTATCTTATTGGATGTTTCATGTAACTTAGAACAGCGTTTATACTGCTGTCCTTGACAAAACTGTCATAGATGTTAATAATGTCTATTTTATTTGTAGTTACACTGACTTTGGTTATCTCCTTTATATTATCTGCCAAATAGACCTGTTGATTTCTGATAAAGGAGTACTTCAGTGCCCAGCATTTCTGTCTCCCTGGAGTTTTTATTCATTTGGCCTCATGTATATCAATGCTCTAATGTTTTGTTTTGTTTTTTTTTTTTTTTTTTTTTGTATATAAGGATCATTATACCTCCTTGGAGAATTTACTATCTTATCAAATACTATACTCTTGTAGTGGCATCTTGTTCCACCAGTGGACTTGGAGTGGTGGCTGCAGGTGTGCTGATGTGACCCCGTATAAGGAAGAGGAGGGGCTGTCTTTCTCTCTTGGGCTGTGGTAGAACATCTGGAATGGCAGAGACTGCGTCTTCAGGAGCAGGAAAACAGAGGCAATGTGAGTGTTCCTCTAATAAATACCTGTTAATCAGTTATCTGGGGTTTGTGGACTTCCTTAAACCCGCCATCATACTCTTCTTTATTCCTCCTAATTTTTCTTTGCTTTAAAGAGTGCTCTATCTAAAAGTAAACACAACTATTTGGCTATTGCTTGAATTAAGAAGTATGTCCTTATTAGCCAGGTGGTGGTAGTGCATGTCTTTAGTATCAGCACTTGGGAGGCAGAGACAGTCAAATATTTGAGTTTGAGGCCATCCTGGTCTACAGAGTGAGTTCCAGGATGGCCAGAGCTACACACAGATACCCTGTCTCAAACAACAACAAAAAGTTACTTATTTTTAGTACATGAATAAACTTTAAATCTATAAAAAAAAAGTTATAAAACTAGAACCAAAAATCTACCTAACAATCTAATCTACCCAGCATCTTAGGGGGAAAAAAAAAAGTTGCTGAAAATTCAAGTAGCAGAAGAGGGCAGTAAAACTCAACAGAATGTTCTCAAAGACATAAATAGGCTTTCTTATTTTCCTTTAGAGTGTCTCAAAAAATTTCAGACTCTAAGAAAATATATTTTGTATAACACACACACACACACACACACACACACACACACACACATATTTTGTATAACACAGACCTAAATGTACAGAGAAACACTAAATTTCTTCACAACTTACAGCTATATAATGAAAATCTTAATAAGCTACATCGTTATCATTATTCTTTGCTATATGAAACAGGATAAACCATCTTGATTTGGGGACATCTTATATCCTCCTGTAATCAGTATTAGAAATATACCTATGTATTTTGCTCCAGCATCCCAGATGTGCTAAAGCAAACAATTACAAAATGTTTTCCCTTATTTGGACTTCCTTTCAAAACTGCTCTTGTCCTCAAGGGCCAAGTTTCTTCCTGAATTCTTGTGTAACTCAATAGCTACCCCTCCACCCCTGCCACAATCTCTTTAAGAGCATCAGAATATACTTCTCTACATAGCAGCTGTACAACTAACATCAGAAGATGATGGGAGTGTTCAAAATCAATTCAAGATTACACTGTGAGGTCTGAGTACCCTGTCAAAAGTTAGAGTTGAAATCAGTAATTCTAACAAACTTAGCTTTAGCACACACAATCCTCTCAAAATAAAACAGAAACCAAGAACTGCTTAAAGGAACTATCAAAAATGAAAATGGTCTGTGTATTTGGTTGAAATTTCACACAGGAATCAGTGTAAAAGGTTGGGAGTGCCAGAAATGGAATGATTAAACATGACTAGAACAAAGAGCTGGATGAGATGGAATTTTAGTCACTATGCCTCATGTAGAATCAAATTAGCACACACGAAGCAAACACTTGAAAAAAATTCCATGAGTATTTTTAATTTCTCCAAGACTTCCACAGACTGAGGTATTATGTATAGTTTTCTAAGGGTTGTTTCTCTCTGGTTTTCCCCCATTGCTTTCCTTTCTCTCTTTAAATTTTTATTTGGTTTGTTTTGAGCTGGGGTCTTGCTGTGTTGCCCAATCTACCTTAAAACATTTTCCTGAGAAAATAGTTTAATTTCAGACTGTGTGTCTTGTTATCCTCCATTCATGCTAAGAACATCAAAATTTAATTGATTTCTTCAGTTTCCTTACTTTCTTATTTTGCTTGTTTTTCACTATTCCATCCTCATATACTCCTCCCTGGCCACCATCAAACAGCAGAATGATATCCAAAACTGTCAAAAATCACCTTTCTATGCAATTGATTTCTTCTCAAACAATGTTTGAAAGTTAGCCAGAATAAGGCTAATTATGGAAACTTAAGTATTTTCTTTTGATCCATTGCTATAACACACCTTCTTGAAAAACGTGGAGAGAAAAAGAAAAGAAGTACATCTTAAGAAAAGAATTCTTTTTTAATGATATATCCCGTGAAAAAAGAGTTGTTGACTGAAATGATAAAAGCAATGCCCTGGGCACTTAGCATTCCGATGAAGTGAAGCTCAGAATCTGTCCTTTGCAAACACCGGTGCTAGGGGCTGGCTAGGTCTGTGGAGCCTGGAGGCAGTTCTGTGACGGACTTCACCCTACCCCCACCAGTACGCTTGTGGACCCTGACAGCAGCATTCTCAGTTCATTAAAAAAAAAAAAAAAAAAAAAGGTAGCTGTGTGTGCGCTCCGAGCAGCACGCACATCAGGCCGTCCCAGCGGGGGGCGGCGCGGGGATTCCCTGAGTTCCGACCTCGGATCCGGGAGAGAAAGCGTGACATCCCAGCTCTCCTCTGTCTCCACCTGGAGCACGGGATTCGGGACTGGGAGGAAGCCGGAGTCCCCAAAGAGAGCCAGCGTGGGCGCGGGCACAGGAATCGCTCGGGGCGCCTGGAGGGATGCGAGAGGGCGGCGCAGTTCTCTTGGCACCACCTGGGGCAGCCTAGGGCAGCTTCCCGGCTTTCCTCGTCTCCATTTGCGTGGGTAAGAGCCCTGCCCCCACCCGCCTTGCGCAACTCCCCGAAGCGAAGGGGGTGGGGGAAGGCTATTGGGGGTAGGGGAAAGACTGGGCGGAAAGAACCAGTCACCACGGCGTCACGTGGGGCCTTTTTCAGGCATAAAAGCAAGGTTCTCCCTGTTAGCAGCCAGTTGTCAAACTGCAAGTGGAGAGCTCCAGGAGTGTCAGAAGACTGCCCACGAAGGAACTCAGCACTGCGTCCCTTCAGCTCAGCCACCTCTGCCACCACCGCCGCCTCCACCTCCGAGATGCTCGTCCGAGCTCTGCTGCTCTGTGCCGCTGTGGCGCTCAGCCAGGCAGGTGAGTGGACCCGCCCCATAAGGCGCCTGCAAGAGTGCAGACCCCTTTTTTCTAGTGCGGGGACTGCGCAGTGGCAAAGAGCCTGGACCACTTGGGTCAGGAGGAACCGCAAGAATGGCTTACTTTTGCCACTGGCTGTCAGGTTAATTGGCCAATTACTCAGGGGAGCAGAGAGCTACTCTCACTTGCCAAAACCCACTAGCCACAATATTTTGCAGGTTGTCATTATGCTAAGATCCATCCGATCAATACTTGTGAAGTGCATATGTGGGGGCGAGTGAATAGGAGTGCTTACTTTAAATACCTTCATTTCTGCCCCCAAGAAAGTTCAGAATACATTTTTTAAAAAAAGATACTCAAAATGTTAAAAGCAGTGTTTTACTTTGGTTTTCTTTACACTAAATTTTGACTAATGTACTAGATCGATCCATTTTAATCTAGAAAGGTGCTACTTTACAATTCTAATCTGAACATTTGAGAAATTACCATGAAAATATTAATAATGTGAGCTATGATGTTCGGTCCTCTGCTTTTTTTCTTAGAAAAAGAAATTGTTAATTCTACATTGCAGCCATTTGATGAGACAGACTTAATTAAAATAAACTTGACCCATAGTAATACAATTAAATTCTTAAGATGAGACCCACCAAGAGTGGCTTACAGGCTGGTTTTTTTTTCTTTTGTTTGTTTGTTTTTTATGTAGCAAATCCTTGCTGTTCCAACCCCTGTCAAAACCGTGGAGAATGTATGAGCGTAGGATTTGACCAGTATAAATGTGATTGTACCCGGACAGGATTCTACGGTGAAAACTGCACTATACGTAAGTTTCTCCTGGGTTTTCTTCCTTTGGAATGGGGGCATATACAGTTACCATCATTTTGTATATTTGTGCCCTGTGGAGGATGTCTACTAATTATTCCCTGTGCTCTCTCTCCAGCTGAGTTTCTGACAAGAATTAAATTGCTGCTGAAGCCCACCCCAGACACAGTACACTACATCCTGACCCACTTTAAGGGAGTCTGGAACATTGTGAATAACATCCCCTTCCTTCGAAGTTCAATCATGAGATATGTGTTGACGTGTAAGTACAAACCTGCCTTGCTTCTAGCATCCTCCAACAAAAATATGCACTGGAAACCCAACCCCCAAAAATATTCCCAACCTTTTCAAAATATCTTCAATACCCCCTCTCCACAAAATGCCCATAATACTGACATGGGATCCTGTAACCAAGATCTTATTTATGAATTCCAACCTTCATTCCTGTAGAGGAAATGTGCTTCCCTTGTTTCTTGAGTACCTATGGCTCCCAGAATTGTTCTGAACATGCAGCACCCTTTAAAGCAAATGGTTGATTCAGGTTTGGGTCAGACGAGAAAATAACTTTCTATAGTTTTAAGTGAGGGCCATGCCCTATTGTATCAGCCATCAGCTATGGAACACCTGAAAAAAAAAAAATCAAGACTACTGGAGCATAAGTTCCTGTGTAAAGCTTAAGCTTTATTGAAGACACATTTCCACTTGCCCTTTAAAGTGTAGTCATTGTAAAACAGGGTATCTTTGTCTGAATCAAAGTCAAAGTCTGAATCAAAGTCTGTGCCTTCCACATTGTACAATGATAATTAACATTTGCTTGTTTTTTTCACATTAGGGCCAATAAATACTTTTTTTTTTTTTAATTCTAGCCAGATCACATTTGATTGACAGTCCACCAACTTACAATGTGCACTATGGTTACAAAAACTGGGAAGCCTTCTCCAACCTCTCCTACTACACCAGAGCCCTTCCTCCTGTGGCTGATGACTGCCCAACTCCCATGGGTGTGAAAGGTGAGTGAGAAGAAATTCAGATATAGCAATTGCAGTGATGGTTGGGTGTGTACTTAGAAAAGGTGGCCTTAGAATGTCATTTATTAAAAAAAAAAAATATATCATTTATTTAAAACTGTAATGCTTTTGGCTTTAGTATGGTTATCCACAGAGGATTTTTTTAAAGCATCTACTCCATAAAAGTAAATCTTAATTTTGATATAATGTCTTACCATTAGTATGTTGTGCTAAATAGAATTGGTATTAGTTAAAATTGATAAAACTATTCAATAAGTTGTTCCCCCAATTCTTGTACTCTTGGCAAGACAGCCCATCGCCTGTAATTTCATCATTAAATAAATTTCAGGCAAAGATTCACCAGTAAGCTCAAGGCCAACCTGGGATAGAGAGTAAGTTTAAGTCAGCATGGGGTAAAGCAAAACAACTTTATTGGTCTTATGATCTTCCTTGAGACTATGTGAATAAGTTGCAAATGCTTTCATGAATTAAACAGTCATCTGTTTGCTTAACAAATACATGAATGGGTTTTTACTTTAGAGTTTTCATGTTTCAGGAAATAAGGAGCTTCCTGATTCAAAAGAAGTTCTGGAAAAAGTTCTTCTAAGGAGAAAGTTCATCCCTGATCCCCAGGGCTCGAATATGATGTTTGCATTCTTTGCCCAGCACTTCACTCATCAGTTTTTCAAGACAGATCAGAAACGAGGACCTGGATTCACCCGAGGACTAGGCCATGGGGTAAGATAGGCTTAACTCAGAATTAAAGCAAATCCTTAGGAAATGCTGACATCTTGCCATGCCAAGCAAATCACACCCATTTTTATACAAATGTCATGTCTGTCTACTAAAGCCATAATAGAGTATTCCATTTTCATTCACTAGTTCAGTAAAAATAAACAGACATACACAGAGATATTTTAGTGTAAGCTTTCCTTACATTTTAGCTTAAAATTTTGGTCTACAAAAAAGTGCTACATCTTCCCAAAAAATTAATTAATTAATTATTGGTAACACTGGGAAGTGACTTTAGAACTTTGTGGTTGCTAGGCTTTGCTATTGAAGTAGAGGCCCATCCCTCCAAAGAATAGCTGTACCCTGAGTATGCTGCTTAAATAATATAAAAATAGCTACCATGGTTATAGTGAGGCATGTGCCATATTTAAAATAAGATACTAATATCATTCAACATAAAGAGACATACAGAGGTGGATTGAGGGGAGGCAGGGGAAAGTTGGGAAAGAGAATGGGAGGAGAGGAGGGAGGGATGTAAAATAAATAATTAATTAGTAACAAAGAGGCATGAAGGCTTGTCGGGTTGGAAGACATTATTTTAGCATTTTGTGACTATGGGGAAGTCATTTGTTGGGCTTGGGTTAACTCAGTGTTTAAGAACACTTATTATTCTTTTGGAGGAGCCAGTTTAAGTTCCCAGCACCCACATGGTAGTTAAACCATCTATCTCTAGAACCAGTCAGTTCCAGGGAATTTAACGCCTCCTTCTGACCTCCTTGGGCACCAGATATGTACATGATATGCATAAGTATATATAGGCAAGCACTCATACATACATATAAAAATAAAATAAATCTAAAAAAATCACTTGTTGAATTTTAAAGACAACTAAATCATCAAAATGTAATAGCAAATGATAGTAAAACATCAATAAATTAAAATTTCTCCATGATTTTCTAGGTGGACTTAAACCATATTTATGGTGAAACTCTAGACAGACAACATAAACTGCGCCTTTTCAAGGATGGAAAATTGAAATATCAGGTATTTTCCTTACCTTTTAGGAATTATCACCTGCCATTTACATTTACGTTTTAAAACTTCTGGTTGTGTGTTTGTTTTAACTTTCTGCTATTATTACTGTTGTGGCTTAGGTCATTGATGGAGAGGTGTACCCTCCCACAGTCAAAGACACCCAGGTGGAGATGATCTACCCCCCTCACATTCCAGAGCACCTTCGGTTCGCTGTAGGGCAGGAGGTCTTTGGTCTGGTGCCTGGTCTGATGATGTATGCTACCATCTGGCTGCGGGAGCACAACCGAGTGTGTGATGTGCTTAAACAGGAGCATCCTGAGTGGGATGATGAGCGGTTATTCCAGACCAGCAGGCTCATACTGATAGGTGAGTGAGAGAAAATCAGTAACACCATCCCCCCAAAGGAAAAGAAAAACTCACATATTGCCATTGCTATGTTTTGGCACACTGTTGTGAATAGTGAGGATGTACATGACTGGTAATATACCTACCATTTGATAGCAAGGGAAACAAACTCTCTGTGTTGTGCAACAGGGGAGACTATCAAGATTGTGATTGAAGACTATGTGCAGCACCTGAGTGGCTACCACTTCAAACTCAAGTTCGACCCGGAGCTGCTTTTCAACCAGCAGTTCCAGTATCAGAACCGCATCGCAGCCGAATTCAGCACACTGTACCACTGGCACCCCTTGCTGCCTGACACCTTTCAAATCGAGGACCAGGAGTACAACTTCAAACAGTTCCTCTACAACAACTCCATCCTCATCCAGCACGGACTCACCCAGTTTGTTGAGTCATTCACCAGACAGATCGCTGGGAGGGTAAGCATCATTCCTGAAAAGCAAGAGCAAGGGGTCAGTGGCTTTAGGATTTCTGTCATACAGATAATTTTTCCTTTTACTAAAAGGATAACCAGATGTTCTACTGGTTCTTGAAGCATGAAGCCTGGGTGGTTTTTGAAAAGCTATAGTTTTAGTCTACAATTATCAAGCAAATAACAAAACATTACCTTAAAACTAATACTTTAAAAAGCTTGAAATCATCTGACATATTATAGAAGTAAATTTCAGACTTGCCTAAGAATCACGTTTTCTTATTCCTTTTCCTCAGGTTGCTGGGGGTAGGAATGTTCCAGTTGCAGTAAAAGCAGTGGCAAAGGCCTCCATTGACCAGAGCAGGGAGATGAAATACCAGTCCCTCAATGAGTACCGCAAACGATTCTCCCTGAAGCCATATACATCATTTGAAGAACTGACAGGTGAGAGGTTGTTTCTGAAATTCTTCTAAGGGTCAAGAATTTGTAAGGGATGAACCTCTTCCTCCTCCTGTTCTCCTTTTTAAGGATTCTGTTTAATGAGGAGAGGGGTGGGGATGGAAGTGGGCTAGTGGGCAGGGGAAAAGCCTATGCTCCCAAGCCAGAATTATTTTCTCCTCTTCCTAGTTTGACATTGCCTGTATCTCTGTCTTCTTTACTTTCCAGGAGAGAAAGAAATGGCCGCAGAGTTGAAAGCCCTCTACAGTGACATCGATGCCATGGAGCTGTATCCTGCCTTGCTGGTGGAAAAGCCTCGTCCAGATGCTATCTTTGGGGAGACCATGGTAGAACTTGGAGCACCATTCTCCTTGAAAGGACTTATGGGTAATCCCATCTGTTCTCCTCAGTACTGGAAGCCGAGCACTTTTGGAGGTGATGTGGGGTTTAAGATCATCAACACTGCCTCAATTCAGTCTCTCATCTGTAATAATGTGAAGGGCTGCCCTTTCACCTCCTTCAATGTACAAGATCCAGAGCCTACCAAAACCATCAATGCAAGTGACTCCCATTCCAGACTAGACGACATCAACCCCACAGTGCTAATCAAAGGGCGTTCAACTGAGCTGTAGAAGTCTATTGGTTATATTTATTTATTTATATGAACAATTTAATTTAATTATTTAATATTTATACTGAATGCCCTTTTCACTTAACATCTTCTATCACAGAAGGCAATGTCCTGAACGATATTACATTTGTGAAGATTCCCATGTTTGTGCTTTAAGTATGTGTTGCCCTCAAGTGAAAGAGAAAAACAGCTTTCACTTTTTTTACATAAAACAGTGGGGAGTGCATTGTGATAATTTTTTACTTGAATTTCAGCTCATAGGATATCTTAATAAAAGCAAAGGAAAGGTGTTTGGATACTTAAATGCTGTTACAACATGACAGATGCTGCAAGTATCTACACTGTTCATTATGACTGCATCTTCCTTGCTACATTAGGAGCAGCTAATGGGGAATGTTAAAGAACTCTTGCATATCTTTAGCTCATCAGACAAAAGGTTAAAAGTTCAGTTTTCGATGAACATTTGTGGCAGATACTGCCAACAAGTTCATTTTAAAAGGGAATGATTTGAAAGTTCTAAATTGAGAGCTTGTATCCCTTTTGAATGCTCTCACTTTCTTAAGCTGTTAATCTTGGACCCATACCAATAAAACACCTGTCATAAACATAAATCTCTAAAACTAGTAGAAATTACATTGTGATTAATGGTTAAAAAAACTATGTCAGGGATTTTCTTTTCTCAGTAGGAGGGAAATGCTTACTGTGATGATAAGACCTTCCTTGTAATTCAAGATGCCAGTATAGGAAGGGGGTTGGGCTCCTGCTGTTGTATTTTTAAGAGTATGATCTTTAAAGAGTTTGATTATATGAGTAGTAGTAAGCAAATCTTCAACAACAAAAGATTTACAAATAAAATAACCAAGAACAAAGAAGGATCCCAAATTAAATATCACATTTGGGGTTACACTTCAGAAGAAGGCTTTTTGATTCTTGTGTGATGCTGGCATGGTACTCAACAGGTTTTTGCTGTGAGGTTAATGACTTAGCAAGCTGGACTTCAGCAGTTTTTCTCTTGCACGGTGTGATGTAACAAACAGTCCATCTCACAATGCCAAACATATCAATGGCCTTGTGAGCTTCTTCCAAGTGTTGAAATCTACACCTGCTCATGTACCTGAAGTGCAGTGGACCCCGTGCCCTGTGTGAGTCCAGCCTGGATGCCAGCATGCTGCTCCTCGCATTGCTTTTTCTTGTCACCATCTTACTATGAGAAACTGCTGACTGTTTTCTTTTCTTTGCTGTCTTCCAGGTTTGTAATATCAGGTCTATTCTCTCTTTAACCTCTATTAACATTTTTTCTACTTGAAATTTTACATTCAGGAAGACCTCAACTCAGGACTACTGGGTACTCCCCTGTGGAGGAGTAAATTCATTTTAGGCAGAAGGCAGAAATTTTTACTTATAATTAGTTATACTAAAGGACCCTATCAAGGCATGAGTGTCTTATAGAAAAATGTAGGGGTTTGTGACAAGAAAGTTACATTCTAGTTGTGAAGAATGGCTTTCTTACTTACAAACAAGTTTGGTTAGTGAGTAGTTCTGGGCAATAATAATAAATGTAAAACAATACTGAAGATAATTCTACATCTCATTATCAGCTGAGGTACTGTATATTACTTAATTTATTGAGGATGATTATGTCTTTTAGACATTATTGTTATAAACTATGTTTAAACCTACAAATGTTTGTTTTTGCATTGTGTGAGAATCAGTGTACCTTTTTTTTTTGTGTGTGTGATTACCTCTCTGAATTCCTGTGTAAACAATCAAATAAAATGATGAGATTAATGTTCATGGGTAAATTTTAAGAAAACTAGTCTGTTATATTGGGAAGTTAAAGGTGGAATTTACACATATAGTAGACTGCAGAGAGCATTGTCTCACCAAAACATGTTACAAAGACTAACATCTTAGACATTTTGAAGGCCCTGTAGGTGCTTTATCAATTAGTTAAAACATACCTTATTAAGAAATTGTCTTCAAAGCACTATAAGCATTAGTATTCACAGGTCAAGAACTGTTACAGATAATAGTTATGTAAATAACTGATTATTAAGAGAGAGATTTATTTTGCTACAAAGATTACAAAATATTTTAAAGATTATATGCTTAAAATGATTTGATTGGAAAAACGATCGACTTTAGAAAAAATTTGTTTAAAGATTGTTACTGTAATGGATTTTTTTTCTTTTTGAATCAAGCTAACTTGATTGTTGTGAACATGAACCTGCTGAATGAACCTGGAAATTCAGGTTAAGTGTGTGTCTGCTACAGTGCCTGAGAGAAATGTGTATTTAAATTAACTTATGTAAAAAAGAAGTCTTAGAACAAATGCTTGTTTATTTTTATACTATTTAAGATTTGAACACTTCTGAAAATAAAATTTGATTGTTTCTTTACATTTTTGCATGGCATTGATTTCTCTGAGTGATGGCCCTTAAACCATTGTTTGGTGTTCTTTCATCTATGATAGGAGTGAAAAGTAGCTTTAGTATAAAGTGATTACCTGGCATTTAGGAGGCCCTGGGTTCCTTCTTCCACACTGAAGAAGAAAAATCTAGGCTGCCCCTTGACAAAATAGCTCTGCCTTTGGTCCCATGAACTCATCTGAGAGTCACTACTTATTATCTCAGTTGCTGAAGAACTTTTAAAAGTGTTTTGTGCTAAGAAGGCACCATCAGGCTAATTGCCTAATCTAGAAGTAAATACAATATATAAAAGGCAGAATTGGCAAGGTGTGATGGCTCAGTGTGTAAAAGCGCTTGTCGCAACCCTGATGACCTGAATTCAGTCCCTGAAATCCACATGGTGGAAAGAGACAACTGACCCTCATGGGTTGTTCTCTGACACACACACTCATACACACACACACACACACACATATACACATGCACACACACACACACACAGCCATACACATACACACCCACATACAGACACACAAGCCCACACACATACACATACAAACACATACACACATGTACACACACATGCACACATACATACATGCACACATATGCACATACACAATATATATATATAATTTAATTTTTTAAAAGACAAAGATTTGTGTTACAAAGGAGGTACAAAATATGAAAAGGAAGTACAAAAGAAAGAGGGATGGAGGAAAGGAAAGAAAAAGAAAGGAGAGAAGAGGAAGAATATAGAAGTCAGGTCAGCATGCTGATGCATGCCTTTAATTCCACCACTCAAAAGACAGAGGTGGATGGATCTCTGTTTGAGCTTCAGAACAGCCAAGGATACATAGTGAGAATCTGTCAAAATAAAGCAAAATACAAAAAAACAAAAGCCAACAAAACACAAAACTATAGAAGGGCAAAACCATTAAAACACTATACGTGGCTTCCTTTGTCCTATTTTTTTGGCATCTTGGTAACTTCTATAACTCCACAGGCCATATATTTCATGACTTTGCTGACCTTTCTGGGCCTTGACGTTCTTTTTCCCAGTGATACTTTCCCACCATAATCCTGTGCCCCTGCATCTTGACCTCATCATCATGACTTGTTGTGCCATTTTGAAGACCTTGATTTCCATCATGCCCCTTGACTTAGTATAGTTTAGGCTGCCTATTGAGCCTCAGAACCTAACATCTGACTTAAGTGTGCACTGAGCCCACTGCTGTCCCACCAATGTCATCGTGTTATTATTGACCTCCCAATTTTATCCTTGCTTCCCTCTGCATGTAACTTAGATTTTATTGCTCATAAGCACTCTCTATCTGTTCAGTCTCTTACTGTACTTTTCTATTCACCTAATTGGAAGAATTTACTTTCAGCCATTCAGTGACTTCCCTCTCTACCTCTTTCCCTCATTCCTTCCCTCCCTCACTCCGTGTGTGTGTGTGTGTGTGTGTGTGTGTGTGTGTGTGTGTGTGTGTGTGTGTGTCTAGGATCTCACTGTACAGCTTTGGCTGGCATAAAACTCTCTAAGTAAATCAGGTTTGTCTCTCACAGAGATCTAGCTGCCTCAACCTCTGAGTTTTGGAATCAAAGGCATTAGCTATCATGCTCAGGATCATGTTTCTTTTTGTGGTGCTTGCTTTGTAATTTTTGTTTTGTTTTGCTTTTAAGATGAGGTCTCACATTACAGCCCAGGGTGACAACCACCTCAGGCTTCACAGGTGTTGGCTCTACAGGTGTGAGCTCCAGTGTCTGGCTTAACTTTGTCTATATTTGCCTCTTCAGCTCTTTAGTAGTATTCAACCCAAGGGTCTGTTTGTTGTTTATACACACACACACACACACACACACACACACACACACTGGCACAGAGTTTGCTGTTCTCCTGTTCATTTTAATTTGCAAAGAGTACCCCATTCCTCTGCTATACTTGTAAGTTGGCACACTACAATATCTTTCATGTTAATTGCAGTGAAATTCTTAAGTTCAAACGATAATCATTCACAGGTTTTATATTTCCAGGATTAACTTCTAATCAGCAATTAGTAACCATCCACTCAAATTTACAAATGTACTCATTTATTTTCCATCTTTGCCTAAACAATACATGTGCTATATAGTCCAAACAATAACTATTTTAAATTTATTAGATAATCACCATATTCTAGTTTTAAGCAAAAGCCTTTTCTTCTATTTTATTCTTTTATACTTGCTCTAGTGGCAATCCTGTGGATGGCACTCCATAGACAACTAGGAATTCTGTCACTTTCCTCCCCAACACCATCAGTATCAACCTAGTTAGTGCAAGAGACATTTAATTGGTAGTCCCTCTGTAGTTTTCCCTTTGTCTGAAACACTCTTCTTATGGTAATGAAGTATGTATTTTTTTTTAAATCAACCTAACCATGACTCTCCTATGTCTGAAATCCTCAAACAACTTCTAACTATGCAATTAATATGAGCTTTTTTTTTTTAAAGGTTTATTTATTTACTATGTATACAGTGTCTGGGAGATCATTGTGAGTCACCAGGTGGTGGCTGGGAATTGAACTCAGGACCTCTGGAAGAGCAGCTAGTGCTCTTAACCTCTGAACCATCTCTCCACTCCTGAATATGAGCTTCTTATCCCCTTATCTATGGTCACCTCAATCGTCCATCCCCTGCCTATCTATCTGAACTCATCCACTGTACATCCTTTACTTGTTGTATTTCATTTTCTGTTGTTGTGACACAATGCATGAGACTGAATAGTTTGCTCCTGGCTCTGAAAGCTAGGGTCAAAGGCTGTGATGCTTCTAGTAGAGTGCTTCTGCTCTGTAGGCATCAACTGATGTGGGAAGACTGGGCAAACAGGCTGTGGAACAAGGAGGGGCATGGCTAAGCCGAGCTAATTCACAGTGGAGTGGAGAAGGACATTGATCCCTTTTTGGTGGTACAGCCCCTCATAAGCACTCAACCACCTCACAATAATGTTTATAACCAATTACATTTCAACATGAGTTTTTATAACAAGCCATGTCTGAACCACAGGCACGCCCATGTTTCCTATGCTGGTTATATCACCTTCTTATGATTTGTTTATTAGCAATAATTCTTAAGATGTTGCCACTCCAGATTTTTTTTTTCTGAAGATTTTCACATGGCTCTGCCTTCTCATAGCTCAGTCTCAGCTCAAATTTCCCATCCTCAAGAAGGCCTCTTCTAATCGCCCAAATGAAAAGACTTGTTGGACTATAATTTTCAGACTACTTGATGTTCTTCAGAGCAATCATTGCTATCTTATCTGATGTTATTTTGCTTTGTGTGTTTCCTGTGTTCTCATTCTAGACATTTATGCCCATGAAAAAACAACCTTTTCTGAGTTGTTCATAACTCTCAGAATACTAGATGCTTTTAAAACACATTAAAAAACACATAGAAGATGAATAAAGAAAGATTTTTATTAAAAAACAGATTGTGTAATGATTCTTGAAGGAATAGTAACATCTTTGCAAGCCGAGACATCCTCTCTGGAAAGGTCTGCCATTTTCTTCTATAACAAAAAAAAATGCATTAATATAATCTTTCTGACTAACATGTGTGAAAGTGGTAAACTCTGAGTAAGCTCTGTGGGTGGTACCAATGTCAGTTTCTTGGGTTTGGGTTTGATATTGGACTATAATTATAAAGATGTCAGTATTCTCAAAGGTGTGAAGTTTAATTCCTCTCTACTCAGTTCTTTGTAACTTCCTATAAAGGTAGTTGGTTTCTTTTTTCAAAATTGTGAATAGCTTTGTTTGTTTGTTTAAGACAGGGTTTTTGGTACAGCCTTGGCTTGCCTGGTACTCATGTAACCCAGGCTGGCCTCAGAATCACAGAAATCCTCATGCTTTAGTCTGTCCTTCCTGAGTGCAAGGATTACCACTTTGTCCATTTTTATTTTCATGGGAAGGGGTATTCATTTATTTATTTTAAAAAATGTACTTTTATTGTTTCTGTTTATGTGTTTGTGTGTGTATCTGTGTGAGCTAATGCCAAAAATGTGCAGGTGTCCATGGAGACCAGAACAGGGTATCAGATCCCTTGGAACTGGAGATATAAACCATCTAACATGAATGCTAAGCAGTAAACTCAGGTGCTCTGGAAGAGTAAAAAGCACTCAACCACGCAGCCATCTTTCCAGCTCCATCTTTTAAATTTTTATTTTATTTTATGTGTGTGAGTGCTTTGCTGGCATGTATGTTGTATGTCTTAAACACTGAGCCATTTCTCCAGCCCTTCCTTTTGCTTTGTTTTTTGTTTGTTTGTTTGTTTGTTTGTTTTTTGTTTTTTTTTGTTTTGTTTTGTTTTCAGGTAGGATCTTATGATTCCCTGCTAGCTAGCCTGTGACTCCCAGTGTACATCAGGCTGGACTCTGACTTGCTTGGTTCCTCCTGCCTCTGTGGTAAAGCACTGGCCTTAAAGGCAGGCATCATCAATACAAAGGGGTCTTTTCTAGTATTTATTTATAATATTTTTAATTATGTGTACATGTGTGCTTGTCTACATGAGTGTATACACTCCAGGGGTGTTAGACCCCCTGGAGCTGGAGTTACAGGCAGTCATATGTGGGCTACCCTTAATGGGTGTGGAGACCTGAGTGCAGGTCCTTTGTAGAAGCAATACATGCTCTTAACCACTGAGCCATCTCTCCAGGCCTGGAGGACTTCTCTTTTCTTTTTTAGATTTATTTTATCCCCCCCCCCCCTGTGTGTGTGTGTGCGCGCTGGCAAACAACCACATGTTGGAATTCGTATCTGAACTCCAGGTCTCATGATTGAACAGCAAACACCCTTAACTGAAACAAAGTGAATTCAAATATGCGGTTAAGAACTCAGAACTACTGTTTCTTCTTCCTCCTCTCCCTTCTTTCCCTCTTTCTTTTTGGAACAGGATATCATGGAACCAGGCTAGCCTCGATCCACTCTGTAGCCAGGATTATCTTGAAATTCTGATCTAC